TAACTCAGAAATTCTTTAAAAGAATTATTACCTTACTACAGTGTGAGTACAAACAATAAACTCTGGCCTTGAATTCCACTGATGATAAGTGATATAATAATGAGTCTGAAGCCAAATCCACTGTTGCCCTTTAGTCAGGAACCTGTAATAACATGATTTGCCTTTCCCATATTGCATTACTAAAATGAAAAGAGAAAAATATTTTTTCTTTCATCTATATCATTAGTTATGAAGAATCCGTATTTTAACAAACAGCTACCATTTACATTTAACTCTACATATACAATTGTTTTTCTGGCTTTTCAACAACATGTGTATGAATGGTAAGAAAATGCTATTCTTTAGTACTAGTTTAAGGTCCCAAGCAATCTTCCACAGTGCCCAACTTACAGCCAGTCATTGCTGATCTCTTATACTTTTCAAACACAATAAACTTCCAAATACTCAAGAATTAACATTGTTAACTTCTTCCTGGCTTGATGTAATGATGGTAACAGTAATAAGTAACCACACCTTAATTTTTCCCCCCACATATTCTCTGTCAGGTACAGCATCTTTGAGTCATTTCATTTTAAACCTTAACTAACTAAAATCAGAATACTGTCACCATTTAAAATAATTGTTGAGCACAGCAGTTCCCAAAACACGTGCTACACATTTTAAGTTCTGAAGCCTTTTAACAGATTTTAAGTAACAAATGGGTTTTGTGGGTAAATTAATTTGGGCATCTTTTTGTTAAATAGGTGTCTTCAGTCTTCTCAAAACCTTGAGTATGCTGATGCATATGAAGATTCTTTGAGAGATTATGAAGTGTTTCCCAGTCTTCCTTGAATATAAAGTCCTTGTTTAAAGGGCTGGCATTCAGTGGAACAAACCTTAGGAAATGCTGATCAACAATCTCCCTCTCTCTCTCTCTCTCTCTCTCTCTCTCTCTCTCTCTGTAATGAGGAAACCACGGCTTACAAACATTAACTTGCTGTCAAAAGTTAGCCAGCTCGTTAATAGAAGTGCAAGGTCTTTTCGTGACACCATGGTACTTAATGCCCATACCACTTAATAGTGAAAAACATCTTCTTTTGTGAAATGACTTTACTCTGAAAATTTTCCATTTAGTTGATGATATTACACAACATAGTTTATTTTCATACAGAGAATATTATTAGAGCAGCAAAGGATATCATGACAGTGTCTTAAATAACTAATTAGGCTTTAGAGAACACTTAAGAGGGTAGGATGTGGGTGGAGGATCAGAGAAGCAAATAAAACCTATCATTAAAATAAACCTCTAAAACAAAGAATGAATACATGTCGTAAAAGGGTAGGCCTAGACTGCAATCCTGTGGCTGCCACCAACACGCCATGGGATTGTGGATGAAATTACTTGGCTTTACTGTGTCTCGGTCTACTCAAGAAAGACAATAATGCTGAATAATGGAAATAATATATGTGAAGTGTTTAGAATAGTGCCTGGCACAATGAAATGATGATACTCCTGCTGCTGACAACAATAACAGCTGGTAACAGTGAACACTTACTA